AAGTGCATCAATTTCGCAGCCAGCTCAGGGACTTCTCTTGGCTGCATGGAGATCCAGAACAGAGAAGACTTACTCTTCTGCCTGGAGGAAGTGGACTAGCTGGTGTAGTGAACAACAAGTCAATCCGCTTTCAGCAAATTTAGAGGACGTAGTGAATTTTCTAGCTAGTCAGTTTGAATCAGGGTTGGAATACCATACGCTTAATGTATATCGTTCAGCCATATCTGCTACACATCCACAAATTCAAGGGTGGAATGTGGGCGAGCATCCATTAATAAGTCAACTGTTAAAAGGAATATTTAACTCTCGTCCCCCTCAACCTAGATATATTAATACCTGGGATGTGAATACAGTCACGAAATATTTTGAAAAGTGCGGTTCAAATGAAGAACTGCCACTAAAACAATTGGGGAAGAAGCTAGTTGTGTTACTAGCACTTACTTCGGCAGAAAGAGGTTCAGAATTACTTGCTCATGATTTAGGGTTCAGAAGGTACCATCCGGAAGGGGTGTCATTTAACCTTCCGGAACTTACCAAAGGAGTCCGTACGGGAAAACCTCTAAAAGTCTCTTTTCATGCAAATTTTCCCACAAATGAGTTGTTGTGTCCAGTTTCGTGTTTAAAAGAGTACGAGAAAAAAACACAAAATTTTCGGCCAAGGTCTAGCAGTGAACCAAAGAAACTGTTCTTATCAGTAAATAAACCCACAAGCCTATAACCTCATCAACGTTGTCTCATTGGGTAAAGGAATGTTTACTAGCAGCAGGAATAGACAGCAAGGTATTTAAGGCACATTCTACAAGAGGTGCATCGACTTCTGCCGCAGCTAGAGCTGGTATTTCTTTTCCAGAAATCAGTAATGAAATTGGGAGACTGGACAAGGGATAGTACCTTTAAGCGGTTTTATTATCGTCCGGTATGGGATGCGGCTGTAGGTTGTTCGGTGTTAAAAAATGCTACAGTAGGATGACGCTTTAAACTTACATTGTTATATCGAGGCGAGTATCATGAAGTACAATTGGAGATTATGCAAAGGCTGCTTGCAGCCTGCAGTATAAGCAGAATTGTACGAAGTAATACGAGACGAGATATAACAATGTAAATCCCACCCTCCCTTTCCCTAATTATGTGTTGTTTGGAGGTTTGTTGTTTATTTTAGATTCATGTTGATGGCCCATGGTCTTCGCTTGTTCGCGGGGGAAAAAGGCAATGTGGTCGAGGGGAGGCCGGAGGATGTGAACAGGGGCTACCTCGTTTTGAGTTATTAATTTTTTTGTTAATTATTCTGTAAATTGCTGTTGTGAGTAAAGTTAATAAAGGGCATTTACATTGTTATATCGAGGCGAGTATTATGAAGTACAATTATATATAATTAAGGAGATATATGATTTTGCCAAAACCTGAATTAATTGAGACGAAATTAACGTCTCATGCAATGCGTTTTTCCAAACGCATTCATATATATAATACAAGAGAAAAGCAGCCTTTGCATAATCTCCAATTACCACTATTTCCAAATATTTTTTAAATCCGTTGTATTGCCATTAAGTTTTATGCCTAGCTAGCTCCTTACCCAAGGTCACAATTTCATAGAGAAGAATGCCAAAACTCCATCTGATAAAACAAACATTTTATCATTGTTATTCATACATGAGTACATCGAGGCGGCTATTCATAGCGAAAAGTGTATTCATAGCAAAAAGTGTATTTTGTACAAAAAATTAAGGTTTTTTAACAAACATTATCCCACCCCCTTTATCTGCCTCATGCAGGCTCCGACGCGTCGACTTGGTTTTTCTCCAGCAATACTCACTTACAGCACTGCGCTACCTCGCCTTTGGCAAATAATTGTTTTAAACGTTAACATATTAGCTGATAGCCAGGAAAAACGGGTAAACCGGCAGAAAAACGGGATGTATTAATTAAAATAGGCTTGTTTTCGAACGGCAAAACTGAGTCGCAGCGTTGAATGTCAACTTACACATCGCTGGCAGTTGTGAAGAGACCTTTATCTAAACTTTCCACAGCCATCCACTTTATTGGAAGAAAGTCCTAAAAATAGTTTCAAATGTTATTTAAACCAAGTGCAATTTGGCTTCAGCAAAACATGCAAAAATCTTAAACATATCCTGTTTTGAGAGATGCGCCTTCCCACTTGACACTTCAACGGCAAATTTGAGCAATTGGCGTTCGCTTAGGGGCCGATTACATGGGCGAGTTGTCCCGGATAAGCGAGTTGACTCGCTTTGCCGAGTTGGCCCGCTTCGTATATGTATTGTATATTATTTTAACATTCCGATTACATGGCAAGCGAGTTATCCCGCCTAGCCGGGACCGCGGTTGTTGATTGCCGGGCCAACTCGCTTTGCATGCCGAGTTGAAAATTGTCCCTTTTCGCCATGTAATTGCTTTTTGCCGAGTTGTCCCGGGAAAGCGAGTTGGAGTGGTTATATATGCGCATGCTCGTACTCCCACGTTTTGTTTTCAAAAATGGCGGACGCTCGACCAAAAACAAATTCACAGAAGAAATCAGTCCAAATCAATCCAGATGCCCGATTCCAATGGACCGATGAAATGGTTCAGAATTTACTTCATGCATTGCTTGATTATATAAAACCTCAATGGAGTACAACAACTCTGATTTTAATGCAGATAAAAGCAAGCAATATGAGGCAGTTAGGCTGCACTTGGCGTCGAAATATAGCGACCAACCATCTCGGTTTGGTCCAGAGATTATTCGTGATGAAATCGTTGATCAAGAGGATCCGAAAGCCTATCTAAAGAAAGTTGAAGATGACAAAGCGAAAATACGAAAGGGATATTCGAGAATTTTGGAAAAAATTAAGAGTTTGAGACAAAAATTTAGCATCGCAGTAACATCTGGAAGGCGTTCAGGATCTGGAAGGTTGGTGATGGAATTTTATGATACAATGGTCCTAATATGGGGTGGATCCGCATCAACTGAGCCTCTCCGTTTTGGAAGTTATTCAGCAGACGTAGATCAAAGTCAACACACTGGTTTTCTTGACATGACTGACACTGAATTGGGAAATGAAACTGAGGAAGCTGGCGAAAGAGATGATCCTTTACTTGATTCTTTTTCCAATGATGAAACCACAGCTACTTTAAGCAACGATAAAGGTAGTCGTAAACGCCCTGCTAATGTACCAAATTCAGTTCCATTGTTGATTGACAATAAAAGGAAACATATGGAACGTCAGTTGTTAGCAGCACAAAGAGACAAACTTCTATTTCAAGAGAGTAAAGATTAAAAGGAGTTTCGTAAAGAGCTATCTAGTGCATTTAAAGAGTCAAATAGTATTTTTGCTGAATCAATGAAGGCAATGAGCACTGCGATGATGGCTATGGCTTCATCGATACAAAGATCAGTTGAGGTTCAGAATGTGACACCTCAATATTTCAATATGGCTCCACATGTTTCAAATCCATTTCCAACAATACCAAATGTTATTCACCAAGGAAATTATTTATATCTTAATGCAAGTGGACAGCATTCCTCAGCAACACCAAATAGGAATAATGGAAATAATATGGAAAGTGAAGAGCCATCATGCATATCACACATTATAACTAGAAATACATGCATGCAGAAACCCCTCGCCTCGGTTTAACAAAATTAGTTATTAATTAAGCATAGGGATGGTAACATGATCGTTAGAAAAATTACGTATGTGAGAAAAAGAAATTGAGAAAAGTGTGGAAACATTTTTCTGCACGTGGAAGCACTGTAGTCATGGCAACTCGCAACGGCCGTATATTTTTAAAGAATCAAAGTTTACCCACTGGTTTACCCTCATATTTTTGTGAAAAAATGGCAAAAATACGCCAAGATTCTTACCTTTTTCTGGAAGTTAAGTTACTCATCTATAGTCAGTGTTATGGTAAATTATTTTAATTATTAATTACCATGAAATATAACATCAGACGTCTCATACAACTTCCGAAGTTTTATGTTACGCCTCGACTGGTTTTTGCACGGGAATGTTTTGATTTTCTTTTCTTTTTGTCATTATGAAAACGGAGTTTATAAATGAAATTATAATGTCGCTTATCACATAACACATTCAGATTTATAGTGAAATACATTTGAGAATATTAAAGTTTTGTTTACCACAAAAGAATTACTTTTTAAAACTGTGGATGAAATATTATCAAGTGTAAAATCTTCCGACTTTATTATACACGGTGAATTCGGTCAAAAATTTGGTCTTGTTATTTGTTAAACTGTGAAAAGTCTTGACCACATTCAAGTTTCCCTCTAATTTAATTAAAAATACATATATTCTTTATTTTATGAAAACATAAAATTTATTGACAGTTATTTATTGACGTTTGAAAATACAAATTTTTGTCTCGACTAATCAAGAGCTTAGTGGTTCACTCTGGCGCATGCGCATAACGTAGAAGACCGTCCATGGCGTGAGGTCCATTGCATAATGGCGGACAACTTTGATTTCGCATTTGCACATCGTGGGTGTAAATATCCGAGCGGAATTAGTACCCTCGCACGGTGCTCCGCACCGGCTCGGGGATTAACTTCAAACATGGTAACTATATTGTTAGTATGCACAATGGGGTTTGATATTTGCATTGTTCTTTTTGTGTTTGTTATTACTGTTTCATTTACTACAGCATAACTTGATAAATTTAATCATTTTTGATTATTTTATATTCACCTTTCAGTGTTATAAAACATTTTATCAAAAGATTATTATAATAACATTGACAAGTCAGATCAACTGGACTGCATTGGTGAAACTGTTAGTTTGTAATTTTCTACAAAAATATTAGAGTGTTATAATGTAGTTTTCAGTGTTTATATACTATTACATCTAAATGCATAGCAAAAACAAATTTCTGTCACGGTAATTTTTGTGCGATAAACAACTAATGAACATAATATATTGCACAAACACCTGCAAGGCACACCACAGCAATGGCATGCAACTTCCGGAACACACAAGCTAACCTTGCTTCTTTTAAGATTTATCTGGCAAGTGTACTTGTATGTATTCAGTAAGGGTGTTCCTTATGGCTTCACCCTCCCCAGTGTTGCCAGAATAGACTGGGTCTGGGAAATCCCTGTGCATATTTTCATCAGTAATATTTCTTGCAATTTGATTTCTCACAAGCTCTACATCAATATCATCATGATGAAGTTCACAGAAATTGTGGAGCACAAAACATGCCAAAACATTTTTTGGAACTGTAGTGAGTTTCAGATCCATTTTTCTTGACAAGATAGACCAGCGGGCTTTAAGGCGACCAAAAGCACATTCTATTGGGTTTCGGGCAGACCTCAACATATTATTAAAGATCACTTCAGCATCACTTTTACAAGACGGAAATTCCTTCATGCAGTATGGTGCTAGAGGGTAGGCAGGGTCACCAATGACATAATTAGGAATCTTGTTATGACCAGGGAGTAGGTTGTTGAAGGTCTTTGGTAGTTGTCCTTAATGCAGCTTATTGCTCAACAAAGAATTCGAAAATACCTTTGCATCATGCACACTACCAGCCACCTGCATTCTACATCCATGAACAAACCCTTAGCATCACATACTGCTTGAACGCTGACGGAGAAGAATTGCTTGTAATTAAAATAGTCCTGAGAATCGACATTTGGTCTTCGAATAGGAACATGGGTCCCATCAATACACCCCATCGCATGTAGCATTCCGAATTTTGTCTCGAACTCTGCAACTTTAACTCTCATTTCATCTTCTGTTCTGGGGAGATGAATGTATTTAGGACATAGGTGGGTTGATATAGCACGACACACTTGAAGTACTATCTTCGAAACTGTGCACTGGTGAATTCCGAATGTATTTGCCGTCATCCAAATTGTGCCAGTGTCCTTCAAATAATATAACGTCACAGCAACCTTTTTCTCAACAGATAACGCGAGATAATTTGGCGATGTACCTGGCGAAATATAAGGTCGTAGTTCTTCGCACAACTCAATAAACTGGTCCTTCGACATGCGGAAATTCTTTTTCCTGTCTTCTGGTGGTGATATTTCATTGATCATATTCGTCCACCAAGCATCTGTTCTTCCTTGATTTACCCACCTTGATCTCTTTTTCCTAGCTAGTCTTTTTAGTTTTTGATATCGTGCTTTTTTGTGAGCGATAGTCCGCTTTGTGGCGTAATAAATTATTAAACATCTGTTTACATGCTGTCGATAGGCCAAATAAGCGTACAACAAACCTTGAAGTTGAAGAATTAAGGCCCCAAAAAGGCAAAACTTGCGAAAAAGATTAAACTCCATCTTAAAAACAAAAAAGCGCGCCTTTTTTTCCCACTATATTTTGAACTACTTCCGGGATGTAAAACTCCCATGTAGTCGCGCAAGCGAGTTGGCCCGGTTAACCGGGCCAACTCGTTTAACCGGGCCAACTCGCTTCCATGTAATCGGCCCCTTAAAGTCGAATGTATCTTGAGATTCTGCGTCTGAGATGTATCAGATTTATCAGCGACTGTGCTTTTCCTTAGAAACTCTAGGACATTTCCAACTGAGCAGTATTCTGTTACCAACTTTTGTTTTCCTTAAGTAGCACTAAATTGATAAAAATCATATTAAAGAGCTAAAAATGCTAGAAGGCCAAATTTGATATCATGCTCAACAACGGCTGATTAAACCAGAAAGTATAATAAATATATAATTTGTTAATAATTTTTTTGATATGAACAATGACAGAAACCGCCATATCACATCAGTTAGCTTATTAATTTCAGCTAGTATAGCTTAAAACAAGTTATTAATTACGATGAGATTCAAATGCAGTCAGTGGCGTATCCAGCCTGACGATTTTGTCCCGCTATATGCAAATTTCGAGTTATAATTATTCATTTTTTTAGAAATTTATTGTTTTTACAGTCAATAAACACCAAAATTTTAGCATAGCGAGACAAATCGACAGGCTGGATACGCCACTGAATGCAGTGATGTACGTGAATCTTTTAAATTCCCTTAATAGCAAAGCTTTAGGCAAATGTTTTTAATCAGTCCGTACCAAAAGCCAAGCCATTAAGTATTTAAAGAAATTATGTCGTTTTTCAGCATCAACTTGTTTTTCAATATTTTGTAGAATCTGTACCTGTGGGCGGAATGAGGGATAAACGAAAATATATCTCTTTTTGCGCATGTTGGATCGAATTCTAATTTACCAACATTTGCATTAATTTAAAAGCAGAGCTACGGCCGCGATTTTATGTAAATTGCATGTACGTATTGCATTGAAAACCTTTTCAAACATAGTGAATACGGTGCTTTATTACTTGCCGCCCTGGAAAAATCACCCAATTTTAAACCTGCTGCAAAATACCTACAATTCTTGGCCTGTTATACTCTATGACGGTCTAGATGGCACAGGCGTATGGAGCAGAGGTTGGTGGGTCAAACCATTTGAACCTGGAAAGCTCTTCAATTCCACCAATATTGGAGCAACTACCGCGGAAATCGATGTATGCCAAAGTTGAATAACATGGCCAGAAATGTAGGCCAAGCATGCGCGAAAAGCGCTATAATTTAGGAATCCAACATGGTGTCACCTCTCAGAAAAGAGTGCGGAATCATTAGAAATTGCTTTCTATTTAACCCACAATTGAAAAGACATGTTTGACAATTTTTACGCACTGAAAACTTGAGGACAATTCGAGATGCCCAAGTATGTTCCAGAGAAAGAACATTCTTCTGATGGTCATCGTATGGGAAGGTATTTATATTCCTAGCATATTTCTGATATTAGCCACCTCATACATTTCACGTTTCTGCTCAATGTGGGCGGGAAAGTCCAGTTTCCAGTACCCGCCAGTGTCCGCCAGAGAGGGAGGGTGAGGAGAGATTAGTGTTTATGAAATTTTGACTCCAAAAACTCGCTGGTTAACATTTGTACATTTCTGTTTTGATTTAAATTACATCGCAGCAAAAGCTGAATTATGCAATTATTACATACAAACTTGGTATTAAAATTAGATTATTTCTCTACTATTTATATTTTCAATGGAATAAAAACTAAAAGCTAATTAAGACCTAACCTACTTAATTAAACGTTGGGCACTCGGCTGTTATCAAATTACATCGCAGCAAAAGCTGAATTACGCAATGATTACATACAAACTTGGTATTAAAATTAGATTATTTCTCTACTATTTAATTTTACAATGGAATAAAAACTAAAAGCTAAGTAAGACCTAACCTACTTAATTAAACGTTGGGCACTCCGGCTGTGCCGCCAACGACCATAAGTTTCGGCTTCATGGCGGATTGTAAGACAAAAAATTACTAGCTACGTCATTTTTTTTGTCAAAAATTACGTCATTACTATTAGTCGTTGGATTCAAGATGGCCGCTTAGTCGGAGAAGCCTATTTAACTATAATTTCATTGATTTTCAAGGTTTCAAATTTCAAAAGTTTCCCATAAACCAAGCTTTTCAAACCGAAAGTCATCTTATATGAGATTGCGACTAAAATTGGAAGGCTGAAATCTTGATATAAACAACAAAAGTTCACGACTTTAAATTTCACAAAGTCAAAGTTTAACGGCAAATTATATTCGCAAATCCGAAATCGCAACAATAGTATTTGCATCATTCGCAAGCTGTTGTTTATTGGATGCAATTGTATGGCCTTAATTTTTTGCAAATAAACCCGAATACGGAAAGACGGTCGCGTGAAAATAACATGTTGCAGCGTTACATGACAGAAATACAAGTACGACACGGAGCGAACATTATAATTATTCATTCATCAGTATCATCACTGCTTGACTACTTGCGTGGAACTTGGTCTTCGCCGCTGGGTGTCAGGCTTGTCAACCTGCAATATTTCACTATTTCAGTCACTTTGCGATCAAAGTATTGTGTTGTTAGTGTGTAAATTTCCTATTGTATTTGTGTATACAATTATAATTAGAATAAACATACTGTATAGGCTTCACTTAAATAGCCCCAGCGACTAAACGCTCAGTCGAGCGTCTTGTTTATTAAATTTGCTACACATAGCAAAGATAAATGAGTTTTTGGTCCTATCCGGTTTTGATTAAAGGAAAGTTAAAAATTCTTCACATTTCTTAAAAGAAAGCCGCTGAATCGTATATCTTTCATGCAATAAATGACCAATCTTAAAAGCTCATCAAAAACATCTGGCGGCTGTGAAATTGCCATTGGCTTTGCGTTTAAAGGTCATATCACATTAGTATCAGCATCTAGTAAAGTGCTTTCCCACATTTTGTTCGCTTTTAGTCATGCATTTAGTGTTCTAAACTAGAAAAAGAAACGCTGAGAAACATAACAAATTATAAAAATTGTTTCAACCTCGCCAAGCGGGCCAGCCTGCTTTGTCCAGAGAAATTTACGAACAGAAATTTTTATTTGGAAATGTATTAATTCGTGGCGAGATATCGCTAGCCGGACTGTCGCGCAAAGCGGGCAACTTACACCAAATTTACTTAACCAAAATCTTTTTGCTATAACTAAGGTCTACTGAATTATGAAGAATCAGTGAGGCCAAGTCTATATGAATGTAAAATGAATTAGTATTTTACAGCTATAATCATTAATTTTTATTTTTAAGAGCAATTTGCTCACAACAGAACTTCATATTCCCGGAAGTGAGCAAACACATGGACTAAATAGATCAGTATAACAATTGGATCATGATCTGGCGCCATATGCTGATATGTACGAGCTAGAAAACGATTCTGCTCAGATGACTCATTTTTCACAGGTGTATTGTGAACGAAATTGCGTGTCATTTTGTTAATATGAAATTAACAAAACAGGGATACAGCTATAAAAGTTTAACACTGCAAAACTCTACGAAACCTCAAACTTACGATCGCACTAGTCGTCAAATGATTACATTGCATGCTGTTATTTGCTGTAGAATACAATGCAAATATAAAAACTGAATTCGATCAAGAATACCATAAAAGAAAACAGATATAACACTGAGCTCAAAATTAACTTTGCCCTTTCATGATTGTGACTGCCACGGGTTTCCGTCAAATTTGGTGTAATGTTATTGTATCATGACTATCCTTTATTCCCGAATCCTTGCCGACAATAACACTTGGTTTGTTACAAACTCAATAGGCGTAAAATGTAGCTGCCAGCGGCTTTCCTGAACTTTATATGTCTCATTCCGTAGATGAACGCATTCGTGATTGAATTAATCCCAAACAACTCGTATTGAAAAACGACAAACCAAAGTTGGTGACACAATTTGTTGCATAAAAACTCAACTGGCAGCCCAATCAAGGCAGGTATAAAGACAAAGAAAGCAAAAACTGCAGTCACAATGCAGAATGTATTTGCTGTTTTGAATTTAAGGCGAAGATAATGTATTGCGTTGCGTCGTTCTAAGGACATCTCAATAGTATTGTTTTGAAATGTAACTTTTTCTGTCAATACTCGTTTTCTTTGCTTCTTGGAAACATGTAGGATTAGAAAATTGAGGACGCATATTGATGCAAAAGGGACATAGAAAAAAAACGCGCCAAGAGCCCCTAGAATGTTGTCAGATATGTCGCAGACACTCCTTAATCCAATGTTCGACCTTCTATAGAAGACTAGGAATGCTATGAGATTGCAACAGACGATGAACCAAATCCCAAATATGACAAGAAACACTCGTTGACGTGTCACAATTAGGGGATATTTCAGAGGTTTTACGATGTATAAATAGCGATCAACTGTGATAGCAAGAAGTGTTGCCACTGAAGCAAATAGAAATGACCAGCTGGTAGAACGACTTAACTTGCAAAACAAGTCCTGATCACTGTCAATGTTCAATATTGTCTGAATAAATTCGATGATCCATATTGGGTAAAATGTTAGGCACACGAGAAGGTCCGCCAATGCCAAGTTTCCAATTAAGTATGACGCGACTGTCTTTTCCCTTCTTGAAAAAATTGTAAATATTATAACTGTGCCATTACCTAATACCCCAACAATCATTGCAAAGAATTTGAAAACAACAGAAAAGATGAGAACATCTCTTGGAACAGTTGTCAATGACATTTTAA